GAAACAGATGATGACCCAGGTCATTGTAGAAACTGTAACAGTTTTTCTTAAGGAACAATCAGTTGAAAAACCATATTAATGAGGCAATAAGTGCTATTGCTAAATTCATTCTGCTGCCATCATTAGGGGAGTCAACATTCCTGTTCTGTGCTAATTAGGTCAGCTAGCAGAAGCTCAGAAACAGAAAGAACATTAACCAAGTGTATCTGGAGCATTCCAGAGACAGATGGAGACAGCCAGAAGGGATTCTGAGTAATCATTCCCTATGAAATTTTGGAATCCCCTTAAACCAGTCATTCCAGTTAGACCAAGATACATTGGTTTAATACTTTCACTCTCTCTAGCAAAGTAGAAAGCACTTTATCAGGGAGCTTTCAACTGTGGCCAAATCAGTAAGTTTGTCTTGCTTTGCTAATGCAGTAATGCTCATCCTCTGCCCCTCCTGACAGAAGGGAAGATTCCCCCTCACAGGTGACTGGTTGGTCCCCATCCAAAATCAACCTATTTTGGTGCTGATAAGGACAAAATCCAGATTTTCTGACCTTTTCCTGTCAACAGGCACTACAGGTATAAAAATATCTTGTTGGGCCAGTATCACACCGATCTGTGCTAAAATAAGGACTGTCCTCTGGGACAAAGTAACTTCCCCTGACCTGTAATTACTGGAATGACACCTGCCAGAGTAAGTCCACCCCTGGTTCATGCCTGCCACAATTACCAGTACCTGAAGTTTGTAAGCCTACCAAAAGATCACTGTTTATCCCAGCTGAAAAGCAGAATGAAAGGCTGCCAGTGCCACAGGCAGAGTGCACTCAATGGGATTGACTGCCTTGCACCACACTGCTTGGAGAACAGCAGACAAAACCCACTGACATGGCCCACAGCCTTTTCCCTGGAGGAAAGATCCCTCTCCTCTTCCAGCCAGGGAGTATTTCCCAGCTCAGAATGACCTCATGCAAACACCTCCACAAAGATGCAGATCTTTGGGGTGCATTTAAAGGCTTCCAGTGGAGGTGCTCAAAGGGCAGTGAGGGAACTCTTCTGGGCAGCAAAGCAAACTCCACTGGGGCAAACAAATGCTGTCAGTAACAAGCCTATTTACAGCATCCAGCTGTGAATTTAAGTTTAAATGAGCTGTGAACACAAGACATCCCCCAAGAGAGGATTTCTCAACTCGAGTGGCATCAGCACAGTGACAATGCCCCTGTTACCACAGTCCCAGCAGAGTAGAAAGGGAAGGACCCTAAACCAAGCAGTGGCCATTCTGCCCTAGTAATACCTTTGTTTTGCAGTCAACTGATCCTAAAGGTTCACAGTGTGAACTGAACCACCTCTAGATACCTCATGCACCTCAATGCACCACAAAAAAAACCCCAACCAAACAACCAAACAAAAAAAAACCCCCAAAAACCCAAACTCTGTTTTCTCTCTACTGGAGTTGGCTTGATGACAGGAGTCAAACTGAAGCAGTTGGTTTTTATTCCATAGTTCTACAAAATAGTCCTTTCACTAGGGTTGTCATAGTGTACACAAAAAACATTTTTCAGTCACTCAAAACACAGCCTTTGTAGCTCTCGGGGGTTTCGTTTGGTTTTTTATCCTGCAGAAAGTAAACAATCCCATCTGTGGGGAAGAATTAAAAGGGGTGAATCTGGCTGATCAAATTTCTATCAAATGACAGGAGTCAAAAACTTTTTCTTCAATCTATTCATCTGTAAACACTTCCCCAACAATTGCAGAAAGGAGATCCAGCTGAAGAAGAGTTGAGTACTTTTCCAGTGAGCTCCCCCACCCCATCATTTGTATCAAAGACCATCTTGGCCATTTTTTGGCAATTGCCAACCACCCCAGAAGTCAGAGGGATGAACTTAAATATTTCAGCTTCTCAAATCAAGAAATGCAATTAATCTAAAAATATTTTAATGTAGCAAGTTTGGCTGTAGAACCAGTGCAACATAGAGAGGACACCCATTGTATAACCAACTTTACTGCTTAATCTTAACAGAGTAAGCTACAGATGCAATGGATTCACCACAAGTTATTTGGTTAAATTAAATACTGCAGTTAGGATCATGCTGTTGGTAATTGTGGCTTTACAGTACCAATGCTCAAGTTGGCTGAGTTAGTTTACCTGTAAGTAAAATGCAAGTTTACAGAGAACCGAAATAATTTAGTATAGTATGCTGTATTCTGTTCCATGCTCAGTCACAATGATCATGTCTTCAACAGATAAACAATATTTCAGCATTATGTTGATAATGCCAAACCATACAGGAATTGTAATGCAAAATTTACAACATAACACAGAGCTTAACAAACAGATTTCTCAGGTAGGTGGCCAGTGGTGAGAATGCTACAGGACTGAGGAGCATCCAAGCACTACTCAGTGCACACAGAGTGCTGACAGGAATGCTTTACCTTCGGGTGGAATGATTGTTCTAGAAGTTTGTCCCAGAAATAACCTGCTGTAAAATGATTGTTAAACCCTTGCCTCAAACACGAAGCAAAAGCACTACATGTTATTTACAAACCTGAACCAGTAAAACCACTTTAGGAACAGAGAAAAAGTGTGATCACCTGACAAAGATGACAGAGCTTGGTCACTGTATTATGTGAGCTAGGATGGTAACCAAGTTGTAAACAAACTTTAACCAAATTAGGTTAATGCATCTATTCTTACCTCAAGAATATTGCCATTTCAGCAGACAGTGATTTTTAAAGCTAAGGACACTATCAGAGGTTTCATTTTTGTTTAAAGCCAAAACTTAAAAAGACCTGGAAGCTGGCAAATCAGTTTTGTTCCCCATTAGCCTTCATTAACTTCACCACAGCATAATTCAGCAAAATTTTCAACCCCCCTGATTTTATCTAACTCTTCTCCAACTTTAGTAGCTGGTAGCAAAGTTGAAGCAAACACTATCAACACCTGAAAATCCCTACTCAGAGTGGTTTGGTTTTCCACTACTGGCATTCTGCTACACAGAAATAAAAACACTAAAAGCTTTTAATTTTGAAACAAAAACTTCCTCAAAATCAAACAGGCTTTGCAAACACGCCAAGAAATATATATGTAAACCAGATTTGAGTCTGTCAATCCCAGCAGTGTCATCTTCATTCCTCTTTCCCCCCCACCCTCAAAATTAACAGCATTGCCAAAGTGGATGATGTGACACTGATGGAATTAAATTCACTTACAGGAAGCCTGGATACAAAAAAAAAAAAAAAAAAAAAAAAAAAAAAGAAAATGAAACTTTGTCCCTGCCGCACCTATTTTTTTTCCTGCATTTTGTAATGAACCCATGCAAGCATAAAAGGAGCTGTGTTGGTATTTTGTTTTTCTTTAAACAGGCATAAGAGTTGTGCCAGACAAAACAGAACAAACTTATATTTCGCTTCAGAAAGATCTTGTATTACCAACTCGTTTCTCTTCATAACTAAAGGTGATAAAAAAATAAATCCATAGTAATGAAAAAAACCCAAACCCTGTAATCAAGCTGCTTTTCAAGTATGTTGATCCCCTAATGAGAGAGCTGCATTAGCCATACTACTGATTAGAACCTACATCACAAGGATTAGGACACAGACCATAGGCCTGACCTCCTGGAATTGTGTCCAGCTGGATGTCCAGCCGAGCTCACAGAAGCCTGGAGGCAGGAGGCCGATGGCTACACATGCACACCTTACAGCACTCCTCAAATCCCTGATTCTGGCTGCATCCACTGCCCCAGCCCCAGCACAGCTCCTCCCCACACAGGGGAGGTGGCACAGGAGCCACACAGTGATCTTGGACAGGTACCATAGTTTGCTGATCAACCCAGTGCAAATCTTGTGCTCAGGGAGATACCTTTTGGAGACCTCCCAGACTGGAGAATTTTGCCCACAGTGTTTCTACAAAGCACAGCATAAACCATATCTCAGTATTTCATTCAGTCTGGAATTCCCACCTCCACGTATTGCAATTGTGGAATCACAGAATATTCTGAGCTGGAAGGGACCCACAAGTCCAACTCTTGAAGCCAATGAAAAGTCAGTGAAGGGGGTTCTACCAGAGTTGGTCCCTGCATTAAACACTAATACAGATGAAACATAAAAAGGGGACAAACTTCCAAGTCACTATTAGTGATGGTGATAGGTTCAACTTTTCTTCCTTCCTCCTTAAATTCACTTCCTATTTAATGCAAGAGAAAAGTGCAACTTTGCAGCATGTTTGTTCACATCAAGTTTTTCCTCAAGAACACATTTTGCAGTAACAAAATATGGTCTATAAAGTCGCAAAGTGCTCAAGCTGAAGGCACAGAGTACAAACACATAGGAAAACAGACTTCAAAATACCAAGTAACAAAACAAGAGATAAACCAAAAATCTGGAATTGAAAACTCCCTGACAGAAGATACATTTACATGGTGTTACCGAACAAGTTATATTTTTTTTATAAAAGGAGTCTATGCAGCAGTGGGGAAAGATGTTGGAAAACTCTTTTAACCTCAGTAAAACAGTGTTTGATCCCTACATCTATGATTAATAGTCTTGTGCCAGCTATTGCTTCCTTATTTACCTGTATCAGTGATCAATATGAACTAGCAGATGTCTTAACTTTTGAGAACAAGGATTGTGTGTCAGAGCAAAAAATGATAAGAGAAGCACATTATAACCTGACCACATATTTGAGATATTCTCAAGGAGAAAAGATTCATTAGAAGATCTGGAACCACATCCAAATAAGTCCACGGAAATAATTAGCATATATGGATGTATTCAGGAAATGTAATGAATATGTAATAGAAATGTGATGAATATGATTAGTGCCATGAACATAAGCTGGTCTGTTAGGTTGCTGGTATGCATGCTTTGTGGAGCAATCCCCATGCACCCAGCACTGGTAATACAGTGATGTTGGCTTTCTAACCTACCAAATTGGTTGGAGAGTTTATTTCCCAATTTTCGGTGACAAAGGGACCAACTCTTAAAAGGTGACAATTTTTAAACTAACAAACAAATACTGCAAAATAATGTAACTTTATTCTTATTATTAAGTAGAAGCTCCAGAAAATAACTTGGAAGTTCAAAAACTAATACACTGACGTGTTAACTAGTTTTAAGAATGTCCTTAATATTAAGAAAAGAGTGCAAAAAGGATTCTTCCATTCTAATGCTTTTGGAAGCTGCTGATTTCGGCTGCCCACTTCCACTTTGAAAGGATTGTTTTTCAAGGTGCATTCCTCACAGAAGTCACAGAACATGAACTTGTTGATAGGCCAGACCAAGGAATCATGTCTTTCAAAGTCACCCCAACTGTAGCAGCAACTGACGTTGTACAAAGAAGAAAGTCCAAAACTCTTCTCTGAGGCAAAGTTCGTGTCAGAGCTTGAGTATCAGCAGTTGCCAAAGGAGGCTCCAGATACCATCTGTGCTCCTCCAGTGTCTCTTCTGGCTGGGAGTAGAAGCTGATCCAGTATATTCACTATCTGTATCCCCTGGAGCTTGCACAAGCTGATGAGCCACCTGAAATTATAGAAAAAAGTTGGAGAAATTCTCTCATATTAAACTTCCACATTATGTCCCTTGGCCCCCATTCCCCAAAAATACAGCATTGCCTGTAAAACATTAACAGTATAAAGAGAAGCTGATTTACCATATAAATGTCCATTCACTCATTTCAGCTTACAATAAGGGTTCATCACAAAACTGTCTGGCATTTTATGGTAATAAATAAAGCCAACATACTGAGCTGAAAGCACCAGAGGAAACTTGGTGGAAAGAATGCCATAAAACGAACAAAAGTTAACAACAGTCCCACAAGAGATACTATTCCCCAATCCCCAAGGCTGTTTAATGACAATCAGGGCCTTGTACTTCAATCCTAACCTAGATTGCACAGGACTAGTCTTTCCTGGCCAAATGCTTAGTCAGCACAGAAGATGAGCAGAAGACCGATGAGATGAGACCTCTGACCGACTGCACCCAAATTAGGGCTGCCTGGAGTAGAGCAACCAACTCCTCTCTGTGTCTCTTCTCCTACACTGGAGGAAATCAAGGGAACAAAGTGAAGAACCCCACAGTCAATCATGCAGCAAGAGGCTTCAGCTACAAACAGAAGAGAACTTCCCTGCTGCATGACTCCAACACTTGTACACTGCCTTTAGTAACCCAGGGCAGGGGATCCTGTGCTGGATCAGACACATCTCTGAGGGTTCCAAGCTGAAAAGCACAACCCTCCAAACTCTCCATTCTGTCAAGAGTCAGAAACACACATCACCCGTGGGTGATTTACAGAGGTGGACTGGCTCACAGCATTGTCTGTTATGTGTATCCTGAGCAGGCAGAGACTTGGGAGAACTACGTTCTTTTTCCTCAAGACCTCAGCTTCCACCTAAATCAAGTGGAAGTATCCAGGCCTCAGTATCCAGGATAGTGGCTGTGGGACTCTGGCAGAGCTAGCCAGACTCTAGATCCAAGAAATTTGTATTTTTCCTTGGCGTGGTCAAGGTTACACTGCAGGCAGCTCGATACACGTGGAGGTGCAGCCTCTGACACATCACCACCCTCAACACCCACAAGTCCACCACTACCTGAGTCCCCACCTGGAGGGCAGGGTCAGGGGCACACTTACTGTAAAGCTCTTCTCCAGGTCTCTTGCGTGACTGGTCACCTCTGGGAAAGAAGGGAGAGAAAGGTATTCTCATGATAACCTCAATTAAAGATGTCCCTGCTCACTGCAGGGAGGTTGGACCTTTAAATGTCCCCACCAACCCAAACCATTTGATGATTTTCAAAACAACAGCAAAATACCTCAGCACAACCATCAACTTGTAGAGATTTAGAAACAAAATGAGAACATAGTAACAATAACACTACTGCAGGATTGTCAATTTACTAAAACAAAAGGATAAGCTATATTTTGTAGATTAAATTAGCTCACCTTTTTGTTACAGATTTCATAGGATAACATGTTTGATATCATAAGATAATTTTTTAGAAAATGAAGATGAGAAAAACTGCTCATATTCAGCATGGTCTGAAGTCACACATAAAATTGTATTCCTCAATTCAAACTCCTCAACCAAACTTCATAAACTACGTAAAAAACTCTGTATCTATCAGTCTGAAAAGGTAAGATGCTCCTGGCAAAGCCCAACGATCAGACCCTAGGCAAGTCTGAGCTGACCATACTTGCTCTTTAAGCAGATTTTAGTACTTAACAGTGGTGATAAACTTCCTTCTTTAACTAGAGCCTGACATGCAATTAATGCTGCTGAAGACACCTCACTGTGCTGTGTTCCTTGTGGTTATTGTAGCAGGAAATACAGCAGCAAAAACATCACCATTTTCTGGCACAATTAAAGGAGAACAGATGACATTTAATACTAACCCAGAAGAGACTTGGCATGCTTCTTGATAAAAGAGAAAGCCTTTTTATACATCTGTATGTGTAGGAATATAACCTCAGAAAAATTCTGACAAGTCATAAACAAGCATAACCTATGTTTGTAACAGGAAGAAGCATATTACACTTTGAAATACCTTTCAAGGCAAAATGCATTTCAAATACCACTGAAAAATGCCATGTAGCAAATAAAACTGAAGTAGAGATAATATCTTTTGCCTGTGTCCCTTCAATGATGACACTCAAATCAAACACTTTCTATAACCCCCATGTTTACCAGACTGCACTGACTCACCCACAGCACAACCCTATAAAACAGACTGTGCAAAACACAGTCATCAGAGACTAAGTGCCATCCATCAGTTATTCCTCTGCAAAGTTTTAGTTTGCATTTTTATTTCCTAAAGTGAAAGCAAGCTACACAGAAACTGCAGTTACACAAAAGCATGAGCTGGGAGGGGGCAATTTTGTAAACCTACAAGCAATACCAAAACTCTCCACATGTCCAACAACCAGCAGGTCCCATCCTCCAGAAAGCCAAAAAGAAGAGTCAGAATTTAGACTCTGCAAACAATATGTGACACAGAAACCTTTACTCAGCTCTTGCCTGCGTGACTGTCCTCAAGCCCCACTCTTTTCTTTGCCCACATCTATCACACAGGACAGGAACTGTTTCCTACAAATTTGCATTAGTCCCACAGTCAAGAGAATTTTCTGCATAAAAACAGCAGTTGCTAAAATACATTCTGAGGATCCCACAAAGTCTGCAACAAGACAGCACCATGTAGGCATTTAGTCTTTGCAATGGTCAGTGTCCCTTACTACCTCTCCCAGCTTTTTATAGTCTCCTCCTTACAGAACCAGCCAAAGAACTGCACAGCCAAGCTAACAAAGCCTCTCATTTTCAGGTAACTGAAGAAAAACATTTTTGAAACCGATTGCTTTTGTGGATGTAGACTGTTACAACTTGAAACCTCATTTTTAATTCCCTAAGAACTGTGAAACTGGTGAAATGCACTTGTAAGCAGAACTATCATTAGCCACCCACAGAATTAGCAAGATTGAAAGTTAGACACAACTAAATTGTTCCTTTTTTTGTTTGGTTCTGTGCATTGTATCCTTTTGTCAGCATTATATTCCTACTCAGTTTTAAAGTGTCAAACTCCTATTTCTTGGGCCATATGCACTAGTTTTCTCAGCTCAAGCTCTTATGACTTTATTTTTATGCATATCTCTCTAAAAAATTCCTTTAGTCAACAGAAAGCCTTACAAGGAGAGTCTACACCAAACCATTTGCATTTGGGTCAACAGTAGAGCTTTGAAGCTCAATAATTTACCAAGCTTTGAAGACAGAGATTACCTCTGAGGAAAACTACGTGGGATGAAATCCAGAAATACATCTGACACTAAACACACCCACACCTAGTGGGTGTTCAAACTACAGCACCAGATTTGGAGCATTGCACAGGTAACAGGAAAGATGAAGAGCAACAGGCACTGCCCAGAGTGAACAATGAACAGTATGAACATTTTCTGCTGGGACTTTTACTGTTTGTTCTGCCTCCTTTTGCCCCTCCCAGTTCAACACTCAGAAGAGAAATGCCTATTTAAAATAGACACCTTGTCTGTACGAATAACTCTGAAAGTGGAATAAGGAGAAATCATCAACTGACATTTTCAGAAGCATCAAAAAAAACCAAAAAGGAGAGCTTATAAAAAACAAACAGCCAAAGTAAATGCTGAAGTTGAACAAGAGCATGACCAGGCAGTAGAAGCACAACCAAAACACAGGAATGCATGAACTGAAAGCAATCTGTTTCATCAAAATATTTCAAGCCTTCCAATCATCTACTTTCTGGTACCATCTGCATGGTTGTTAGTGTTCCAACACATGGAAAACAAGGCCAATATTTCATATGGATACTGAGTTGTGGAAGTTTTTTATGAACTCTTAAATTATTTCTTCAATATTTTTAGGTGTATCCATTTTTACCATTGCAGCAGCATCCAGAACAATCACTACTGAATACTAATAACTATTACCTTGTAAATCCATTCTGAATAAGCTCTCTTTGAAGTTTCTGGTCTTGAGCAGCATATTCCTGAAGCTCAGATTCCACAGCAGGGGGGAGAACATTTGGGATGAATTTGGAAAATAAAGCTGGTGCCATCTGTACCCATTCTGTAAAAAGACAGAAAGCAACAACAAAACATGTGGAAGAGATATGTTGTAAAAATTTTACTCTTTGGCAAATGTAACTTTATTTTAAATACATATCAGTATCTTGAATTAAAAGAAAGAAAAAAACCAAAACCATCCCTAAAAACCACAGAAATCGTGTCTTAAAGCAAAACAAATAATCAGGTTTAAAATCAGATGTTTACATGTAGATAAAGGAATCCACATCAAATTGAAATTCAGTTCCTGCTGCATCTCACAAGACCTTCTGAGTCTCTGGACACTCTCAAGGACAGGCAACTGAGGATCAGCAAATTCACCTTGAAAATCAGATAATTGTAGACCCTTTACTCCAGGAAACTCATTCACAAAATGTACCTGAGCCTTACTTCTAAAAAGCACAGCAGAATCATCACACAACCCTGCTTCTCCACTCTCCATTTTTAATGAAATAATGCATTTCTCTCCCTGCTCTTCCAAAGCTTAGATGAACAAATGCAATTCTAACCTGTACTAGTTCAGCTTCAGGACAGAAATGTGATTTAATTTCACTACACTGAACATTGCCTCACAGGAGCAAGACAGTTTACCTTAAAACTGCTTCACAGCTGATTATAAGAAACACAGAAGAGATGAGCAAAGCATGAAAACTGGTTTTGTAGCAACTGTATAACAAGGTCTGAGAAAAATAAATAGCCCTTAGGTATTACTGCAGCCAGACTTTCCACAGGTTGTAGCAGTTATCTTAAATCTAATCTTTACTTAGAAAAAAGGGATGCTTTTAAATTTATTCATTAAGGCACATCCCAATTCCCACATTCCTGCCCAAACTGGTGTTGTCTGTAAACCAACCGAGGGAGCACTCGACCCCTTTGTCCAGATCACTGATGGAGCTGTTAAAAAGGACTGGTCCCAGTGCTGAGCTGGAATTAGAAGAGAGTCTTTTCTGGCAACATTTGAAGCCTGACAGCTTTCAGGTACTTTCAACCTGAAGAGTAAATAAGAGAAGAGTAAGTGAAGGGCAAGCCCAGGGCCAGCAGGCACATGAGCATCCTCCTCCTGTCACTGCCTGCACAGCCAGCTCAGAGCCCTGCTGGGATCCCCAGACCTGCCTCTGGGCACAGCTGCTGCTTTCCTTCCCAGCCACGTGCTCCCAGAGCCCTGACACATCCCATGGAGCACACCCCACAGGGGAAGGGAGCAGCACCACCCAAGAGGAGCACTCGCCCGGCTGGTTCCAGAATTCACCCTCAAGAACTCGCAGCACCCAAGAACTTTTACACCCAGAAGTCTCTCCTGGGCTCTGCTGGCTGGAATGGCATTAAAGCTCCTCGGTTTTTCAAAGGCTGAGAAGTTTGAGAAGCAGGCAATTAGAGCAAATGTGTATCTGTTCAAGTGACAACCTAAAGTCAATCATCTGGGTCTTCCTGGAAGTGCTTTATCCATGCATTTTGTAAAGGGAGGGTCCACCACGTTCCTGGCTTACATGCTAAATATTGCACTAAGGACTTCTGTAAAGGATTCCCATCCTCATTTCTATCCCATAAATGGGGATTGCAAAGCAAAAATAGACTGAAGCTCAGACACAACCCTCCTCTCAGTCACACCAAGGTAAGAAGAAACTCTCAGTACTGTAAAAAAAAGGGAAGCAGGTACCATTTATTTATGGATATTTTAAACACTTCCTGTTTCTAAAAACTACTCAAACACACAGCAAAGCTCTGCTCAGTTCTCCAAAACTTACAGAACCAAAGATTTTGGTACAGAATTGATCAAAATCTGCAACACCATTTTCCCTTCAACATCATTGTTGTTGCATAAGATGTCATGATGTGTTCACAAGTTAAATTATTTCTTCCATGAAATAATACCAACCAAACAATGGCTTCACAGAAGAAAAAGTCATTCACCTCATGTCAAAGACCTGACTGTTTGAAGTGCCACTTGCAATGTAACTTCCACCATTTCCACACTCCTTTATACAGACCTGCCCTTTGTCTCCAGAGCAGAGGGTTGGGTTGGTATTTTTAAGTGTATTTGGTATTCTCATGGTACCTTGAGCAGGTCAGATGGGCAACAAGAACCAGGGCAGAACTGAGCATTATGATGGACAGAACACAACACACATTCTTCTCTTAACTGTGCATTAAATAGAGACTATACACATGTAGGAAGATACATATTTAGGGAAACATATCACAGTATGAGACTAGCACAAGCATTGTTCCTTTTTACCTGGTCGTAGTGTATACAGGCCTTTCACAATATTTGCCATGGTTGAAGGAGTTATTTGAAACGGTGTTGACTGAGCTTCCAAAAGTAAAGCTGAAACAAAATTAAGAGAATCAGCAATTTTTCTAACCAAGAAATACAGGCTCTTACACATATATTTTTCCATCAAAAACACAGTAGCTGTGCTTTTTTTGGTATCTGATGTCCTCACAAAGAAAACCATCTGAACCTGACAACTCAATTCCCTAGAGTAATAAAAGATCACCTCTAAATAGAACTATCCTGTTCAAATTATGTATGACAAAAATGTGCAATAACCCATTTTTCATCCACTGGAAGCAGTAGGAGCCGTTAGGCAAAATTCAGCAAGCAATGGCTCTAAGTATTCAGACAAAGAACTGAAGTAAACAATTTATTTTTAGATGCAGTCTCAAACTGAGGGTGTTAAACACCCGAAAATCCACAAATCCCAGCTCTACAGTATTTAGAATCTTGTACATAAAACCAAGGATGGATTGAAACTCTGTGCACACGTAGTGTAAAAACTGTAAACATCAAATAAGAAAAGCTGTTCTTTTAAACACAAATTGACAATTTAATCTCATTCTTGGTATCTTCTGCAGTAAATATTGCAATAATTGTGTCTTCTTGTGGAAAAACCTGGCAATAGCACATTTACAACTTGTACTATGCTCTAAGCTGGCCTTTATCCTGATGATGACTTATATGAGCTTTCTGAATTACAGAAACACACACACAGAGAAGTGAGAGAAGGAAGATGTGAACCAACTGCTGCCTCTCAGTTTTCATTTGTCTACAAAGGAGCTGAGCAATACAGACACCTTTCTGTACACCCACTACAGAGGAGAAATGCCTTATAATTCTACCTAAAGGGCACATCTCTTGGGCTCACATTGTAGAAATTCTGCTTTTTAAGCTTCAGAGCATCTCCAGTTCCAGCTTCAGCATCTGCCACTATGGCACTTACCATAAAAAGAAAAACCTTCAGTAGCATGTTCTTCTTTTCTGAAGGTGTTTAAGTGGCTCATGTCACAGGGAAATCAAAACAAAGTATTTTTTCTAACCTTCAAGTAATCAAAGTTGTTATATTTAACTGTTAGAGATGAATTTATTTTATGAAGAGCCATCTTAAAAGTGCTTGCTCATTTCAGCTGAAGCCTTGAGGGCGTGAGAGCCTGTGATTTGTTTTGTAATGACATATTTACAGTCCCTTCCCTAAAGATGTTTCAAACAGGCTCTTTCCTAAAGATTTTTCACACAGCCTCTTGGCAGCCAACTAAGCTACAAATCACAGAATTAAAATGGGCATAATGCTTTATAATGTGACAGTAATGCACAATCCAAACAATGTGTGTGCATATATAATATGTGTGTCTTTAGTCAGACTGTGGCTACTTCAGGTTAGGCTTCACCAAGAGATTTGCAAAGTGGCCAGAGAACTGTGAATTTGCTCTTTACATACAGACAGTAAATTAGATTCCTAACGTATGTAAAACAAATTACTTAAAACAAAACCAACTTCTTCATCACTTTAGTGCAGCTTCAGACATTACCATTTCTTATCTTGGTTTCTGCAAGTGCATACATATCCTGCTACAGTGCAAATGTAAATCACTTGCTCCTGATTTACAGTCAGTAAACACAAGCACGATAGTATATTCAACAACAATATAACAAGGTAATGGCATATATTTCCCATTTCTCAATGAAGAAAATTAAAGAAGCATACAGTGTAAACTAGCCCAGTCTACACCTTTCCCAAAAGCTGGACATCAATCTCTGCAGAAAGAATAGCACTGTTGTAGGATTTGTGTTTTCAGAACAATTCCCACAATAACAAACAAGACTCCTCTCTTTGGACAGATCCAAATGACCCCAATGCCAGGTTTAGACACAAAGATGTCAACAGATAAAAGCTGTAAAAGTGCTCTGCACACAAATTCATGTTCACCAACCCAGACACTCTATCCTGTGTTACTTCTTGAGAGAGGGTCCCTCAGACTCAAGGAATAGAAAGAGCTGTGCCACACATGCTGAAGTCACCTCTCTTGTTATTTTACAATCTCACAAAAGACTAAGACTAACAAATTCTAAGGTTTTGCCTCTTGCTTTGTTAGCATAACTAACGAGACCCTAAAAGACAGAAGTTGCACAGACTCCTACCTGCTCCCACCTGCAGCATTTACAAAGACAGAATAAACCTAAACCTCAGCTGAATGACAGTGGTAATGACACTATGATAATACCTGAACACCTCCACAGTGTTTATGAACTAACATCACATTCTACAGAGCAAGTAACTAATATGCAAAGAAGTTAATTAACCTACAAACAGTCTCAAAAATAACTCCTGGCAGAATCAAAGAAGAGAAGTGTGGATTCCCACGATGAAATGCTTTAATTGCAGAAAGATACAAGAAGCTCTGAAATGTTCTTGAGCTGAGGTAAGACACGATACCCAAAATAGCCTGAAGGATTTCTGAGGAACAGTGGATGAACTATACTGGAGTAAGTGAGGAATGAACCTGCAACACTTCAGGTACTCTGCAGTAATCGAGTTTCCCCGTTATCACACAGGAACACTGAAGAACCTCATCCTTCAACGAATGTTCAAGCTCCTTCCTAATTACAGGGGGGCACTTGGGGCAAGATCCAGGACCCCAACAGTTCCAGGAGTAGCAAAGTTCAAATTCACTTGGTCATTACTCAAGATTGACTTGCAAAAACTAACGGGTTAGCTGTTCTAAAAATCTTTTTCTATCCCTCAACATTCCTTTGAAAACAGATTTATTTGGCTTAGCAAAGATGTAACTTTTCTGGCAGGACAGCGAAACTTTCTCATGTTAATTAAACAATGGTTTTTTCCCTCCCTTTACAGTAGCTTCAAAGTAAGCTATTTTAACAAATCACACATAAGTATGACCTAAGCAGATGTGTTCAAAGCTGTAATTATTCAACAATGCACTTTAAAAAAATATAAACCATATTCCCATTAAAAGCAACTCCAGGAGCTTCCACAACTCAGGCCTTAGTCAGCTGCTGGCTCTTCAGTCTCCAAGAGAGGCAGAACCCATTGCTTAATGAAAACAAGCTCTGTGTCCCACTGTCCAAGCTGTGCTCTTTGGGCCTTCATTCTTTCAATTATTGTGCAGTAGAACAAGTTTAATGCTGCCAGGGCACTGGGCCCTCCCACAAGTGCCCGTGAGGTGCTCAGGGATGCCCAGCAGCAGCACCAGAGCTGTCAGCAGGGCACAGCCCCAGCAAACCTGGGCAGCACAGCCCCACGGGCCCTGCTGCCCTTGGGGAGGGTCAGCAGGTCACAGGCAGTCAGATCTGCCCTCTAATAAATCACCTTTCTCTCAGCTGAATTACACACAAACACTTCCACTTGGCTGGGATAAAATCACACTCCCCTTGAGGATGGTTCCTTTATCCCAACCTTTACTCTCCAATCCAGCCCATGCAAAGCACTGGCTTGGAACCCACGTGCCAAGAGCAATTAAACAGGAGGGAACTGCTACTCCTGGCACCCAAGATGTGGCTGCAGGTCTTTGGTGGTGCTGTTTGGGGCTGAGGTTTTCTGTGAGGTTGATCACGTTTTTGTGATTGTTTTTTACTGTTGTTGTTTGGCATTTGGGGGTTCTTGAGGGTTTTTTGTTGTTTTTCTTTCACCTGCTGCCTATTTTATTCTTAAAGTTACTGCTGAAGCTTGATCATATATTACCTTTTCATTACTTTAACCTAGGTACAACTCCTACGTGTTAATTATTGATCTAGAACTTCAAAAGCCTTTTGCAGGAAAAGTGACTTTCCCTTTGGCTTAACCCTCACATTTGCAGTTTCATCCACCTCCTTATGATCCTGCATTTTCATTTTCCTTTAAACAGAAGTAAAAATAGAGTTTTACTAACTTAAATTCTTTATAAGTTTGTAATGAATTAAAATGGAGATCAGAAAAAAAAAGATATAAAAAAGTTGTCTTTATTATTTATTACTAGCATTTGCCACTGGGCATTTAATAAAGCCACAGATTACTTTTAAAATATTCATTACCTAAACCAAAAGCTTTATTAAGTATCTCATGAAAATGCTACAAAACAAAAATTCTGAGTCTTAATCACATGGAAAATACTCAGTGCTGTAAAAAGAATAAATATGAGAAACAAAGCTATAAATGTAGAAATATATGCTTTTGGACTTCTATAATTGGAAAATAAGGTGGTATTCTCACGTTTATAATTTTGTGAAGACTTATTGAAATGGGAACATTATTCCTATTTCTTTGCCAAGGAGGCAGATTAACCACAATGACCATTACTTGAGACTGTATTTTCCAACTTAATCAACATGAAACAGGGAAAATAAGAAACACAGCTGCAATTTTTTAAAAATGACCTTGCTCTTCGATGAAAGGTTTACTTCAGAGACAAAATTTGCCTGCAGATTGTTACTTAAAGAATTTGAGGGTATTCTACAATACCTGGTAACAACACAGACTGTCTCCAACGTGGTTACAACACAATTAGTCTTTAGCTGTCAAATTACAGCTTCTTCAATATCAGTGATACCACCCTTACACAGGTGAGTGTGTTATTCTTGGTTATTCCAGCAGATCTGCAGAGCACAGAGGGTATAAGAAAGATCACCAGCTACAAAAGCTGTCTTATTTAGCCCTTGTGACCATCCAGGGTACCTGCTGAGGTCTAAGAAAAGGGTTGACATTAAGTGTGACAAGTTCCTACAACAGCATCCCAGCACACTCCCCAAGGGCTGGAAAAGAAGTGGAACAATAGTGCAGCTGATTTTCTCTATCAGTTATCTATGTCTACCAACATTTGCAAGGAAAGAAGGAAGGACAGGAAGGAAAACACTGGTTTTGAGGTCAGAATTGGAAATTTGAAGGGGTGGTAATAAGATTGAACTATTTGCCTATGCAAAACAAGCTAGAGATTAAACACTGAACAAAGTCACAGTACTACAGATGCACAAAAATCTTTAAAAATTACTTTTAATGAAGAACCTGAGAATAAATAGATCCCTTCTCTACATCTCACAAAAGGACTCTTTATGCT